TGTTTTAATATTGAATGGGCGTGGTCTAAAATATTCGAATTTTCAAATTTTGGTGACGGAATCCTCGAACCAGTAGGTACAGTAAACCATCTGCAAAGCAACAACCCTCAAATATAAAACACGGCGGAGGTATAAGACCCCAACGTTTGCACACTGACTTTTGGCCCACCCTGTATGTACGACCGCCCACGTGCAAATTAAGTAAAAAGCAAAAGTTGCACAGTAACCATGCTAAAGAGGATTGTTACACGCACGTGCACGTGCAATTATTGTTTTAGAGTCATTTTTATCTGTTTTGTGGTAATTACGCTGTGTTTAGTGCGAGCAACATTTTACTATTTTAATTGGCTGTATCTCCGGTTGTGTAGGATATTTTTTGACGTGATTTAAACTTATTAAACATATTATTAGCTTCTTTCCTGTGACCACGGTTTTTTTTTAGTAAACTTATAAAGCATAACTCGACAACGCTTGTTGCTAATTTTTTCTTGCTCGCAATCTCTTAAAGTCTTAATAATGCTATTAACTTATTTGCAACGGCGCAGTAAACTTAAGGGGGCCGGGGGGGGGGGGGGGTCTTCATCAAAATTCTCTCGAAATTGATTTTATAGTTGTTTCTGATAGAGGGGAGTGATATCTATCAGCTGCTTTTTCGTCCCATGGAAAAATATTTATATTGTTCCTAGCCAAAATTATCGCCAGTCAAAGGTCAGCGCTCATGTGTAATTGTATTGCGCGAGCGATTTTCAATCGCTCGCCCTGAAAATCGAGTCTACAAATCTATCTTCTCCTACATTTTTTGAGCAATCACCCTGAAACTTTCAGGATATGTTCTAGGGATCATTTAGAAGATATCTGTCGAGCCGAATTTTGAGATAGGCCTTAGAAGATTTTTTATTCAATTTTGAAAATCTTGGACCTCATTTTTTAACGATTTTTCCAAGTCCAAGATTTTCAAAATTGAATAAAAAATCTTCTAAGGCCTATCTCAAAATTCGGCTCGACAGATATCTTCTAAATGATCCATAAAACATATCCTGAAAGGGTGATTGCTCAAAAAATGTAGGAGAAGATAGATTTTTAGACTCGATTTTCAGGGCGCGCGATTGAAAATCGCTCGCGCAATACAATTAGTATTACACATAAGCGCTAACCTTTGACTGGCGATAATTTTGGCTAGGAACAATATTTTTCCATGGGACCAAAAGCAGCTGATAGATATCACTCCCCTCTATGAATTGATTTTATAGTTGTTTCTGATAGAGGCTCTATCAGAAACAACTATAAAATCAATTTCGAGAGAATTTTGATGAAGACCCCCCCCCGGCCCCCTTAAAGAAATTACAAAATTATTCTAACGTATATTTTACCTCACTTCTGACGTTAATTATAGAAAGTTTAAAGCCTTAATCAAAATTCTTAGAATGCCATAGCCAATTCCTATTATTTTTTACAACCCTGCTAAAAATGGCGAGGTTTCAACTTCATTTGCGAACTAAAATTAGTGTTACACTACTAGTTACCATAGTTACACTACTAGTTACCATAGTTACACTACAAGTTACCGTAGTTATACTACTAGTTACCATAGTTACACTACTAGTCACCAAAGTTATTGTAGTTACACTACTAGTTACCGATTAAGTAACTAGTAGTATAACTATGGTAACTAGTAGTGTAACTATGGTAACTAGTAGTGTAACTATGGTAACTAGTAGTGTTACTACGGTAACTAGTAGTGTAACTATGGTAACTAGTAGTTTAACTATGGTAACTAATAATGTAACTATGGTACACTACTAGTTACCATAGTTACACTAATAGTTACCAAAGTTTAGCAGAGAAGCGTGTTAATTGTTATGTATCAATAATCTGTTGTACTATTATTTGGGTGTATTATTGTTTGGTACTCCGCTTATTAAGATGACCGTTACAAAAGATTCGGGTCAAAAAACACTTATAACTTATTAACTTTGCTTTTGTGAATTTTGTTTATTATTATTAAGTTTTCATTAAGCTTTTATTTTCAGCCGATTTGAGAAGATGAAGTGCTTGACCGGTTAATTTTCATAAGTTTCAGCACTGACCACAGATTCATCTTTTGAGTGATTTCCTTCTTTTAATATGACTTTATTACAACCATTAATGGAATTCCATGCAATAAATAAAACACACATTATTTGGAGACAGGCCAAGAAATAAATTTACTCTCGCAGGAAACAAACACTTGCAGACAGTAGACTATAGACTTATAAAGTGTAGAACATGTTGTATGTTAAGAAAATATGCCCTCAAAAATAAAATGAAATAAAAAGAAATTATTCACAGATTTACGTATTGAACGAAATTGCAAACCCAAAAACATAAAATTAATTTAGTTTAAAGATTATATTTTTTATTGATGCTTTTCATACAAAGTTAAAACAAATTCTTCATTTTGTGCATCCTGGGTTTGGACAGGATATGCCCGCCTAAATTATTCCCATCACGTTACATTACATAATTCTCAATAAATGTAATAGAATTGTAGTGTTGTAATTAGTTTAATTAAGTTTCACCAAATTCAAATACAAAATATATGATCCTAATGAAATTATCACTAATTCAATGTTCCTTAATTTAATATTTAATCTAAAATGTTGCTTCAAAACATTTTGCAGTTCGAAGGGCCTAAAAATTGTCTTGAAATTGTCCGGTCCATCGCTGCTCAGACATATAACTTTAAATGTCCTTTAGTTTCGCTATCTCATCATGAAGTGCCTCATTAGCTTATTGCATTTTGGAATGCAGTCTTTTCACAGTAGTTATGTTCTGATTGTTGCTCAACTATAATCGCCCTGAAATTATCAATGTAAAACTTCGCTCCAGTAGGTACAACAAACAACTATTTCATCATTAATTACCTGCAGTGTCACAAAGTTAATCACTAGTGTCATAAAGTTAATTACCAGTGTTACAAAGTTAATTGATTATATAATAACTTAAACACTATTTTATGCTGATTTCAATCCTGTTTTCACCCAAATGTCATCCTATAATCACTGTGCTCAAAGATTTGAAGTAGTTGAATGAGCAGTTTAATTTGAGAAAGCGCCCGTTGGTTAGCATTTGAATATTCATGTTTTAGGGTTGTTTACCTGGCCTGATGAACGTGGGTTTCTTTGTTTTACCTTGCATGGAGAAAAGAACAGCTCCTTCTTGGTTTACAATATTTGAATAATCATGTTTTAAGGTGACATTACCTGGCCTGCTGTTTTCTCTTACCTTGTGTGGACGAAGGAACCGCGTTTTGGGCTGTGTCTGCAAGATACATTAGGTCCAACTTTAACAATACACCTGTAAATGTCCATGTTAAGTGTGACATTAAACTATACCCTGGATTGTTCTGAGATATTAAAGTAGGAACTTTTGTCTTTCCCTCAGAAAGGCTAGTGTAAATTCAAAATCACAGATTAGCTAAGATAAAGATACTTTAAAGGATCAATTCTTATCTTGGGTATTTGAGAATGATTGTGAACAAACTCAGAAATAGCAAAAAAATTCTCCAACATTGTATTGTCAGTGAAACAAGGCTAATCGCTAAGTAAAATGAAAAGCACAATCATGCGATCAAAATATTATGTGTCTTACCATCAAGTTACACTTAATAGGTCCGACGGACCTAAGGTCCGTGTTAGTACACTTGCTGTCGTCGAGAAGAATCTGATCCGGTTCATGACGAGAGTTGCTAATAAGCTCCGACATATCTCGTCCGCTTTTATCTTTTTAAGATATAATGAGTCTACGTCAACACCTGTGATGGTGAATTGTTGTGAATATCATATTATTTAACCTCACTAACCTCACTAATTTCACTAACCTCACTAACCTCACTAACCTCACTAACCTCACTAACCTCACTAACCTCACTAACCTCACTATCCTCACTAACTTAACAATCCTCATTAACCTCACTAACCTCACTAACCTCACTAACCTCACTAACTTCACTAACCTCACTAACCTCACTAACGTCACTAACCTTACTAACCTTACTAACCTCACTAATCTTACTAACCTCACTAACTTTACTAACCTCACTATCCTCACTAACCTCACTAACCTCACTAACCTCACTAAACTCACTAACCTAACTAACCGCACTAACCTCACTAACTTCACTAACCTCACTAACCTCACTAACTTCACTAACCTCACTAACCTCACTAACGTCACTAACCTTACTAACCTCACTAACCTCACTAACCTCACTAACCTCACTAACTTCACTAACCTTACTAACCTCACTATCCTCACTAATCTCACTAACCTCACTAACCTCACTAACCTCACTAACCTCACTAACCTCACTAACCTCACTATCCTCACTAACCTAACTATCCTCGCTAACCTCACTAACCTCACTAACCTCACTAACCTCAATTGAATTGAACATTGTTACACTAATAACTTTTTGTGAATGTCAAATATCGATTTAAGTCCACAAATATTTTGCAAGAAGATCTTAACAAGTGAATAAGTAAATAAACAATATTTTTAGGTAACTTACTTTATTGATACTGGTGATTTAGTTTCGCTACATCATCATTTACTTCATTGCTTCAGGAATGCGGCCTTTTCACAGTTATCCTTTGTTACTAAATTATAAGCACCTGAAATTATGAATGTAAACATATGTCCCAGTACAACACACACCTATTTTATCATTAATCTTCACTTTCACAATGATGTTACAAAGTTAACTGATTATATAATACCAACATACTATTTCTGCTGATTTCTTCCTTGTTTCTAACGACCCAATTGTTATACTATAATAGCGTTGCTTTTCCAGATGAACCATAATACATACTCGGATTTTAATATAATAAGTAATGTTCGATCCTGAGCCGTTTAACTTTATTTTGAGAAAGCCCCCGTTGGTCTATAGTATTTACATATTTATGTTTTAGGGTGCCATTACCTGACCTGATAAACGTTGGGTTCTTTGTCTTACCTTGCATGGACGAAGGAACAGCTCCTTCTTGCGGTGTCTGTATAATACATTAGGATCGTTTACAGCAATAAACCTGGAAATGTCTTTGTTAAATGTGACATCAAACTATAACCTGGATTGTTGAGAGATATTAAGGTTAGAATTTCGTCTCTCCCTCAGAAAGGCTAGTGTAAGTGTAAAATCACAAATTAGCTAAGAAAGAGATACTTTTAAGGATAAATTCTTATCTCGGGTATTTGAGAATGATTGTGAACAAACTCAGAAATAGCAGAAAAATTCCCCATTAAACATTAAATCGTCAGTAACACAAGGCTAATCGCTAAGTGCTATAAAACGCACAATTATTCGATCAAAAGCTTGAGTGTCTTACCATCAACTATCACTCAATAGGTCCGTGTTAGTACACTTGCTGTCGTCGAGAAGAATGTGATCCACTTCATGACGAGAGTTGCTAATAAGCTCCGACATATATCGTCTGATTTTATCTTTTTAAGATATAAGGCGTCTACGTCAACACCTGTGATGGTGAATTGTTGTGAATTTTTACTCGACCATGTGGAGAAATAGCTGATAACAAGAAAAACTTAAGAAAACAATAGCTAATCGAGAAATAACATTCAAATTAATTTATGGGCTCAGCTGCAAAAGAAATATGTGATACTACACCAACATAAATGTGTTCGATAATTTTCCTTCGTTCAAAATTCCGTTAACTTACGTTTTTATGTTCTGAATTAACTAGGTCGCCATCTTAACCCAGGATCGTACACTTCTTTTTTACTGGGTTAACTCTTGGAAAGAATTGAACATTGTTACACTAATAATAGGTTTTTGTGAATTTCAAAGATCTTAACAAGTGAATAAGTAAATAAACAATATTTTTAGGTAACTTACTTTATTGATACTGGTGATTTAGTCTCGCTAGCTCATCATTGTACTTCATTGCTTCAAGAAGGCAGCCTTTTCGCAATTGTTCTTTGTTACTAAATTATAAGCACCTGAAATTATCAATGTACAAATTTGTTGCAGTACAACAAAAACTTATTTTATCATTAATCTTCACTATCACCATGGTGTTACAAAGTTAATTGAATATAATACCAACATACTATTTCTGCTGATTTCCTCTTCGTTTCTTACGAACCAATTGTTTTACTGTAATCACTTTGCTTTTCCAGATGCACCATAATATAGATTTGAAGTAATCGGATTCTAACATAAGTAATATTGAATCATGAGCCGTTTAACTTTATTTTGAGAAAGCCCCCTTTGGTCTATAGTATTTAAATATTCATGTTTTAAGGTGACATTACCTGACCTGATAAACGTTGGTTTCTTTGTCCTACCTTGTATGGGCGAAGGAACAGCTCCTTCTTGCGGTGTCTGTATGATACATTAGGATCGTTTACAGCAATAAACCAGCAAATGTCTTTGTTAAATGTGACATCAAACTATACCCTGGATTGTTGAGAGATATTAAGGTTACAATTTCGTCTCTCCCTCAGAAAGGCTAGTGTAAGTGTAAAATCACAGATTAGCTAAGAAAGAGATACTTTTAAGGATCAATTCTTATTTTGGTTATTTGAGAATGATTGTGAACAAACTCAGAAATAGCAGAAAAATTCCCCATTAAACATTAAATCGTCAGTAACACAAGGCTAATCGCTAAGTGCTATAAAACGCACAATTATTCGATCAAAAGCTTGAGTGTCTTACCATCAACTTACACTCAATAGGTCCGTGTTAGTACACTTGCTGTCGTGGAGAAGAATCTGATCCGCTTCATGACGAGAGTTGCTTATAAGCTCCGACATATCTCGTCTGCTTTTATCTTTTTAAGATATAAGGAGTTTACATCAACACCTGTGATGGTGAATTGTTGTAAAATTTTACTAGACAATGTTAATGCGGAGAAATAGCTGATAACAAGAAAAACGCAAGAAAAATGATAGCTAATCGAGAAATAACATTCAAATTTAATTATGGGCTCAGCTGCAAAAGGAATACGTGATACTACACCAACATAAATGTGTTCGATAATTTTCCTTCGTTCAATATTCCGTTAACTTACGTTTTTATGTTCTTAACTAACTAGGTGGCCATCTTAACCAAGGATCGTACGCTTCTTTTTTACTGGGTTAACTGCGTCTCGGAAAGAATTGAACATTGTTACACTAATTTAAATAGGTTTTTGTGAATGTCAAATATCAATTTAAGTCTACAAATATTTTGCGAAAAGATCTTATCAAGTAAATAAGTAAATAAACAATATTGTAGGTAACTTACTTTATTCATACTGGTGATTTAGTCTCGTAGTTTATCATTGTAGGTACATCATTGCTTCATGAATGTAGCCTTTTCACAGTTGTTTTTTGTTACTCAATGCACCTTATAAGCACCTAAAATTATTAATGTACAAATTTGTTCCAGAACAACAAACACCTATTTTATCAATAATATTCAGTGTCGCAATGGTGTTACAAAGTTAATCGATTATATAATACCAACATACTATTTCTGCTGATTTCCTCCTTGTTTCTAACGAACCAATTGTTATACTGTAATCACTTTGCTTTTCCAGATGCACTGTGATATAGATTTGAAGTAATCGGATTATAACATAAGGCATGTTGGATCGTGAGCCGTTAAACTTTATTTTGAGAAAGCCCCCGTTGGTCTATAGTATTTAAATATTCATGTTTTAGGGTGCCATTACCTGACCTGATAAACGTTGGTTTCTTTGTCTTACCTTTTATGGACGAAGGAACAGCTCCTTCTTGCGGTGTCTGTATGATACATTAGGATCGTTTACAGCAATAAACCTGCAAATGTCTTTGTTAAATGTGACATTAAACTATATTCTGGATTGTTCTGATATATTAAGGTTAGAATTTCGTCTCCCCCTCAAAAAAGCTAGTGTAAGTTCAAAATCACAGATTAGCTAAGATAGAGATACTTTAAAGGATCAATTCTTAACTTCGGTTTTAGTGAATGATTGAGAACAAACTCAGAAATAGCAGAAATATTCCCCGACATTAAATCGTCAGTAACACAAGGCTAATCGCTCGGTGCTATAAAACGCACAATTATTCGATCAAAAGCTTGAGTGTCTTACCATCAACTTACACTCAATAGGTCCGTGTTAGTACACTTGCTGTCGTCGAGAAGAATCTGATCCGCTTCATGACGAGAGTTGCTAATAAACTCCGACAAATCTCGTCTGCTTTTATCTTTTTATGATATAAGGAGTCTACGTCAACACCTGTGATGGTGAATTGTTGTGAATTTTTACTATACCATGTGGAAAAATAGCTGATACCAAGAAAATCTTAAGAAAACGATAGCTAATCGAGAAATAACATTCAAATCATATCATGGGCTCAATTGCAAAAGGAATACGTGATACTACACCAACATAAATGTGTTCGATAATTATTAATTTTCCTTCGTTCAATATTCCGTTAACTTACGTTTTCATGTTCTTAACTAACTAGGTCGCCATCTTAACAAAGGATCGTACGCTTCTTTTTTACTGGGTTAACTACGTCTCGGAAAGAATTGAACATTGTTACACTAATTTAAATAGGTTTTTGTGAATGTCTAATATCGATTTAAGTCTACAAATATTTTGCGAAAAGATCTTAACAAGTAAATAAGAACATAAACAATATTTTAGGTAACTTACTTTATTGATACTGGTGATTTAGTCTCGTAGTTTATCATTGTACTTCATTGCTTCAGGTATGTAGCCTTTTCACAGTTGTTCTTTGTTACTTAATGCACCTTATAAGCACCTGAAGTTATCAATGTACAAATTTGTTCCAGAACAACAAACACCTATTTTATCAATAATATTCAGTATCGCAATGGTGTTACAAAGTTAATCGATTATATAATAACAACATACTATTTCTGCTGATTTCCTCCTTGTTTCTAACGAACCAATTGTTATACTGTAATCACTTTGCTTTTCCAGATGCACTATGATATAGATTTGAAGTAGTCGGATTCTAACATAAGTAATATTGAATCATGAGCCGTTTAACTTTATTTTGAGAAAGCCCCCGTTGGTCTATAGTATTTAAATATTCATGTTTTAGGTTGCCATTACCTGACCTGATAAACGTTAGTTTCTTTGTCTTACCTTGTATTTCAAAGGATTTCAAAGGATTTCAAAGGATTTCAAAATAAAATGATCATTACAATAAACATTGTGTCGGATCTAAATTTAAAAAAATAAAGATAAAATGAAAGTCAAAAACGAAAAAACCGAAACCTGTCCTGAAAAATGCACGGTTGACGGTTATAGTCTAAAGAGTTTAAAAACCGAGCTAATCTAAAAAGGAATGTTCATGACGCGAACAACCAGTCCTTTGTGTCCATGCCTAAGATCCACACATAAATTCCACACTAAATCAAAAGTGTGAAACGCACACGAAAAATAACACACTGTCGGATCCACGTTTCGCATGTTGAGTCCGTGAGTCATGTTGTAGGTCCTTCCTTTTCTTTTCTGTCACTCGGGGGGAACCTCCGCTTGTTCACTTTACTCAAGAATCTGGCAGTTTCTCTGATCAATAGGATATCCTTGAAGAGGTCGGCAAAGGTCTCCGCTCCAGAGGTGATCATGGTTCTCGCCTGCTGACCTATGTTTCGCCTCAGGTCGTCGTAAAGCGAACAATCCGTGAGAACGTGTTTCTCATCTTCAATGATCGGCTCAAACATTGGTAGTTCGGCCAGTATACCGACAGCTTCAAGGTCTGATGAAGAACAGTGCTTACAAATGCGACTGAGCGGATTTTCACGGTTGATGGCGTATCTACCGGTCTCGATGTTGAACTTATGAGCACTCATTCTGAACTGCGCCAGCCGCTTCACCTCTTCTCCACTGAGCTGCAGGTTCAGGTACGCTTCAGCTGTAAATTCACTTTTGATAGTGTTGTAGAAACTGAGCTTCCGGTTGTTTTGCCGCTCATCGTTCCAACAGTTAATAAAAGTACTACGTAGTGCTGTTTTGAATTGGTTGGGGTAGGTCAACCTGCGAGATGATACTGACTGAAGGCTTTGTCGGAGATCTTCTATACCTTTGTACCATGGCAGATTGAGTGTGCGTTGTTCTATGAACGCCTGTCTGGCTAGACTTGTGCAACCAGCTCTGTCCATTTGCTCAAGTCGGTTGAAATACCCAAATACTTGCTTTGATGCCTTTATCACTAGGGGGCAGCGGCCTGTATCACCCCATACACTCGCATTTGAGGTTTTTCTGCCCACTCCTAAGGTCCACTTGAGGAATGAGAGATGAAGCTTTTCGAGAGGATCTCTTGCAGTCTCCTTCAGGAGAGATTTGGTGTTGATATTATCTTGATAGTTTCTGACAAAGAGAGTCTCTGGGAGCCACACCTGACATCCGTATGTCACAATCGGTACCACAAGCGCGTCGAATAGCTTGAATACGATTGTTCGCCTGAAGTGTCTTAAGTCAATACTGCTTTTTAGCGCGAAGTAGCTTCTGAGACCTTTTTGCTTCAGTTTGTTCTGTGCTACTGCTGAAGAACCGTTGAGGGTAAAGGTTATCCCGAGGTAGCAATATTCTCGAACTGATGTGATGTTGGTTTCGCCGAGTTGGAATGTCAGACTCTCTTTAAGGAGCCTCCCGGAACGGTTGAACACCATCACTGCCGTTTTTCCGATGTTAACGGTTAGTCCCCATTCGATACAGTAACTGTGTAAAACGTTTAGAAGTTTCTGTAGTCCAGTATGGTCAAGGGCAAGAAGTATAAGATCATCAGCCCAGAGGAGATGAGTGATATTAACATTATTCAGTTCAGGGACGTTGACTTCCTCAGCGTTATCCAGATCTAGGGAGAGTTGGTGGATGAAACACTTGAACAGCTCAGGAGACATCGGGTGACCTTGCTCAGTCCCACAGTGAATGTCGATTGTCTCTGACAATCTGTTCAACAGTTTGATTTTTGCTGAGGAATGTGAATACATCTGCTCGATACATTGAAAGTAATCCGAGGCTAATCATTAAGTACTATAAAACGCACAATTATTCGATCAGGAGCTTGAGTGTCTTACCATCAACTTGCACTTAATAGGTCCGTGTTAGTACACTTGCTGTCGTCGAGAAGAATCTGATCCGCTTCATGACGAGAGTTGCTAATAATAAGCTCCGATATATCTCGTCTGCTTTTATCTTTTTAAGATATAATGAGTCTACGTCAACACCTGTGATGGTGAATTGTTGTGAATTTTTACTCGACCATGTGGAGAATTAGCTGATAACAAGAAAAACGCAAGAAAAACGATAGCTAATCGAGAAATAACATTCAAATTATATCATGGCCTCAGCTGCAAAATGAATACGTGATGCTACACCAACATAAATGTGTTCGATAATTTTCCTTCGTTCAATATTCCGTTAACTTACGTCTTCATGTTCTTAACTAACTAGGTCGCCATCTTAACTAAGGTTCGTACTCTTCTTTTTAACTGGGTCAACTACGTCTTGGAAAGAATTGAAGATTGTTACACTAATAGTAGGTTTTTGTGAATATCGATATATTCAATTCTAATATAAGTAATGTTGGATCGTGAGCCGTTTAACTTTATTTTGAGAATGCCCCGTTGGTCAGTATTAGAATATTCATGTTTTAGGGTGTCATTACCTGGCCTGCTTCTTTGTCTTACCTTGTGTGATACAAACTCAGAAAATCTGAAGATGTCTCCGTATTAATATTAAATCGTCAATGACACAAGGCTTATTGCCAGTTTCACAATACGCACAACCATTTGATGATCAAATATTGATCACGCAATAGAATATTAGATGATTGGGAAAAAAAAACTTGTGTATTTTATTGTCAACTTACATTATAGTTAAGCTTAGTCGTCGAGAATTAGGGCCTGATCCGCTTCAATATGATGAGGAATGCTCATAAGCTCCAGGAAATCTCGTCTGCCTTTATAGTATAGTAGTTATAGTAGTATAATAGTTGTGTTGCAGAAAATTTTTGTGAATTTTGCTCGAACATGTGGAGAAGCGGCTGGTATCAGAAAAGCGCAAGAAAACTTTTTAAAATCGAGGAGTAACGTTAAAATGCTATCAGTGGGCTCGGCTGAAAAAAGGGTCAAGATACTGCGCCAAAATAAATCCTTTTAATGATTTTCTTATCCAGTACTACTTCTTTGTTGATTTACATTTAAGACCGTTTTTCACGCAATTTCATGCTCATAACTTTCTCGCGATCCAGGATTACAGACTTTTACATTCGCGCGGTCTTACAGGATATTGGTTCATTTGCAATGAACTCGGTGAATTGAATTTCGAAGAGAATCGAATTATGTTACACTAATAAAGTTTAGTTAATCTTAGATTTACGTCAAAATAAGTATTTCCGGAAGATGTCAAGAATTAAGTATTAGTAAGTAAACAAATTTTGCAGGTCGATAACTTACTTTTGGATTCTGGTCACTGCAAGACTCTATAAATTCCATATCTTCGTGCAAATCAGTTATAGTGGTCTGGTACTACTCAAGGGATCCTCGTGCTACTCTGTACTCTGTAGTCGAATAGTTAGTCGATTTCTTCATGGTAATGTCTATTATTTATCCTGAAAGAAGATCAATTAACGCACCGATCTTTATTTTCTGTTGACACTTGCAAATATACCAAGCAAATTGGGGTATGTCGTAAATTAGATATGAATTAAAGTTTTAAATTAAAATTATTATTAATACTAATAGTAACTATGAAATAGATAAATACAATATAAATACTTAAATATTTGAAAGTTTAACTAAAGCCCTCAAAATAGTAGTAGATCATGATATACGTCTATTCATGTTTGTGTAAGCAGATTAGTATTCATAAATTAATGTTGATAATCTAAGAACATACCAAACCATGAGCTCAGTTGAGTTCCGTCTGATGAAATCTAGCTCACTGTCCGTCTCAATAAAGTACGATCTGACTACAACGATGTAACTCACTATAATTCGACATATTATTGGGTTATGTGACAGAGAGAGATTCAGATTTTAAGCCGAAAATAACCAAAAGTAGGATATTGGTTGACTAAGATAACCAATAACATAAGTATCAAGTACATTAATTATTGCCTAAAATGAGTTCCAAACCTTAGAGGTAGTCTTAAGCAGTAAAACTATGGAAATAAAACGTGACATTAAACAAAAAAATTGATAGAAATTATCAAGGTTTATCGATCAGATAGATGTAATCTTAGTTTAACCAAATTGATTTACCAATGTTTAATGCAAAAATAGTGCTGCACTAAACAGTAAATTAGTAAAACGTTTCACGGCTAAAATATGCAATCATTTTTAGGGAAAGTTTAATAATATAGCTTCATTATCCAAATATAAACTCTCAAATTAAACTGTGAGTAACCTGGTTGGAAGCTGATTGAGATCCATTAGTTATCGCCATCTGTTTGTCTTTTAGTCTTGATACAATCGTCATTTTCGGTATACTTCACCTGAAATATGACAAAAACAGTTAAGTTAATTTATATCAATT